TTGGGGGACAGTCCAGAGCCAAACCGCAACTCCTACTACAGCTCCCTTCCCTGGTCTCACAAACACTTGGAGCAATTCAAGGGAAGGAGTAAAGGCGTCAGGGAAACCCACATACAGCAGAGAACAGTGAATGTCAGCCATCACTTCCCAGATCCCAGCAGTCACTGTGGCTCATCAAACAACTGCCTAGTGCACACCCAGAATCAATCAAACAAACAAACATGGGTCAGGAATACAGACAAGGCACAGTAGGAACAGGGGCGCTGCCTCACCAATCTGGGGCCTTAACCAGAGCCTTGAAGGCCAGACATGGGCCTTGTGGAGGAAACTTCCTCCACTTGCCTAGTTCCCAAGGCACATTGTTGGCTGAGGCCTCGCTCCTCTCTCTGCTGGAGTCTCCTCATGGTCTCTCCACATAGACTTCTTTGAACTTCCCTGGGCATGGTAGAAACTTCTAGGTACAGGCCACTCCAAAGGGGCAAGCATAAGCTGTCTTCTTTCTATGACCTAGCCTTAGATGTCACATGCCATTACACCAGTCACATTCCCTCATCTGCATGTGTAGCTACATGGAAGTGTGTATGCACAGACCTCTTATTAACTGCTACCTTGTAACAGATGGCTCCAGACAGTAATAGCTTAAGACCATAACTCCATAAACACTATCTCAAATATTTTTTAAAAACTATTACATTGATTTGTTTGTTTGTTTACTTATTTATGTATCTGTGCATGTGCACATGCATGCTACTGCTCGTGTGTGGAGGTCAGAAGACAACTTTCAGGAGCCAGTTCTCTCCTTCTATCACATGGGTCCCAGAGATTGAACTCAGGCTTGATGGAAAACACCCTTACCTACCAAGCCAGCTTGCCAGAACCTCCAAATGATATTTCTCCCTCCCTATTTCTTCTTTACCTACCTCAGGGTATGTATGTATGTGAAGCATAGAGAAATGAACCCAGGACATCATATATGCTAGACAAGTGCTCTATCAGCATTATATCCACAGGCCTCTTTCTACTTTTTGCCTTGAGTCAGAGTCTCACTAGGTTGCATAGGTTAGCCTTAAACTTACTCTGTAGCCCAGGCAGGACTTGGGCTCGTGATTCTCCTGCCTCAGCCTCTTATGTAGCTGAGACTACAGGTCCATGTTAACAAAATGGCCTCCAATCTTTTATTTTATAAGTGTTTTTGCTTGCACATATGTTCGTGTACCACATGCATGCCTGGTGCCTATGGAGTACAGATGAGGGTGTTGAACCTCCCAAAAGTGGAGTTACATATGGTTGTAGTTCATCATGTGGGTGCTAGGAACCAAATCTTGGTCCATGGCAAGAGAAGCAAGTGTTCTTAACATTAGAGCCATATCTCTAACCCATTCAAATAACTTCTTAAGGTCAGGAGTCTGTGAGCGGAGATGTTCTCGTTCTGGGAACCCCCAGAAACTGGGGGTGAGATGTCTATACTAATCTGAAGGTTTAATGGGGCTTCTCCTAAGGCCAAGACTAGAGGACCTGTCTCTAAGCTCGTACATGAGCACAGCCAAAGAGACGTCATGTCTTATCATGCAAATCTCTCCAAGGAGGACACAGACAGCAGTGGGCCTCACCCAGAGATGCTAACCCAAGACAGTGAAATTCTCAGGCATGGCCCCCTTCCACTCCACCTGATACTCCTGGTCTACAACTGCAGGTCAGTACAGAAGGAATGTATTTGAGGATGTGAGCACTCTGGAAGGTACAATTGGCCATACAGATATGGCCACACAACATATTCTTTCCCTCATGGAATTTCTACCCAAATGTGCAACTCAGCGCTCAACATCCAGCATGCAGGAGATGCCACTTGGACTCTGTGTGACACGGCTAATGTTCATCCATGGCCAGTTTTCCTCCATTCTTCTGTATTAACAATTCTGAGGCTGTTCTGCAGTTGGATGGTCAATAGCTGCTTCTGGACAGTAGAAGAGAAGTGTTTCAGTGTCATACAGAAGGAGCAAAGGGTGTGGTCCTGATGATGCTCCAGTCTGTCTTTTCCCTAAATTAGCATCCTGGGAACTGTGACTGGCCAATAATGTTTCAGCAGTGTACGCTGGTGAATGAGTAGTGCTCTTCAGCTCCTGATCTACAGCCAAGGCCATGTGGATCATTCAGTCCCCATGGGAGAGAAGCATCGGCTTGTAAGGCCCTGAGCTCTGCAGGGGCCATCACTACAACTCACTTGAAACATCTCACACCTGTTTAGAAATGTTTTTTGGAGCAACTCCCATCTGTGTTGTCTGGAAATCCCAGGTTATAGCAGGCAGCAGCAGCTCAATCCACTTGCAAACACTTCACGGATATACCAGCAGACCAGTTCAGTAGAGGTGGGTTAGCAACAACAGTGACACAACCTAGCAGAGACTTCCAGGCCTCAGCCTTGGCTTGAGCCAGCAGGAGGAACATCAGGAGAAGTTTTCGGCTGTGCCTCTCTCAGAGAAGAGAGAGATGAGAAGACAGGAGACTCACAAGCGTTGCACAGCTAGCTGTACAAGCAAGCCAAGCTCTGTCTCCCACTCCATCGAGTCCTATTTATACCCTCCAAATATCACATGCCCTCCATGTGCCTTGCCTCAGCACTTGTCTTGCCTTAACATGTGCATCCAATCAGCCCAAGTCTGAGGAGTCCCAACAAATGCAGCTCAACTACACAAGGTAAGGCAGACCAATACATGTGTGTCATTAACAAAGAATCCTTCTTCACGTGTCCTTTCTCCTGTTTGCTTTAGCAGAACATCCTTTCACCTGTGTCTGGTTCAGTGAAACATTCCTTCATGAGTCTGCCTTAGTCTTTCACCCGTATTCCTCATGTGTTTGCCCCAGCAAAACACCATCCAACACAACCGACTTTCCAAAGAACCCTGAAGTTTCCACTTCAGTGAATCAAGTTTTGAATGTGAGTTCTTTGTTCAGTGGTTCAGGAGGAGGTACTTGAAGCAGTAAGTTTAACCTGACATTTAGTGTGAGCAGACCAATAGAGCTCTCTGACTCTAGGGTTTTCTCAGTCTGCTATAGTTTGAGTTCATACCCAACAAGTTCATGTGTCAGGAGCCCAGTCCTCAGTGGGGCAGTGGTTGTAGGTGATGTCTGAAGGAATTAGTTTAGGTTGCTTGGATACACCCCAGAAGAGATCAAGGTAGTTCTTGAAGGACTCTTGCGCTAATTCTAACAAGAGTACCATTTTAAAAGATCAAGCCCTGCCACACTCTGGCTTCTCTCTTCATTCTTGTTTGGCAATATGTTGTTCTGCTGTGGTAGGGCACCTTCTGCCCCACCTCATCAGTCAAAGATCCTTACAACTAAGATGATACTGGGACCATAGCTGTGAGTTAAATGAACCACCTTTCTTTAGAATGTTACTCAAGTATTTTATTATAGTAATCAAAAACTAAAATAGAGTTCCTTTCTGTAAAAAGTTGCAAGATGAAATCAGGAATCATCAGCTGGCATAATTACTATAATCTTAATATTATTGTGTCCATTCCAACACCACTTTAGAGCAGATAATTGGAAGTGTTTCAATCTTTTCACTTCCCTGTCCCCTGAGGCATTTCACAAGGCATTGTTCCAATCGACTCCAAAGGCTATAAGTTCCTAGCTTCTATTGGTGACATCTCAAAGCAACTTTCCCCTCAGGAAACATAGCTTGATCTCTAGTTTTCTGTTGTTAGTCTTTCTCTGCCCAATATATTGTTTTTGGCATTCCTCAGGAGCTCTACTAGCCTGGTGACAGGATGCAGAACTGTTGACTCAGTCAGCAGAAACAAAACAAAGTAGATTCGATCTCTGCCAGAACCCAAGACCTTGGTACAGGAGAAAAGTTCCAAGGTAAACAAGGCCTGGCCTGCTGAGGTCAGGCAGGGCCTCTCCTGAGGGAACTGCCCTTTCTGCAGCTCTTCTGTGTGGGTCAAAACTCAGGGAGGGAAGAGCCAAGTAAGCAGAGCCCCAGCTGCAAAACAAAACCTTCACAGTTGCTAAAAAGGAGAAGAGGGTGTTGGAGAACCAACCTGGGAACAAGGCTGACATGGCCTCACAGCTGAGAATCCAGGAAAGCACGGCCCTGATCTATGTATGTATGTGTGCATGTGAGTAAACGTATGTGTGTCTATATATAGAAGCAGAGAAGCAGACATTCACTTCTGGGTACAAAGGAAAACATGGTAGAACTCCCCCAAATTATTAACACTGACATCTCTCCCATGAGACTGGAGGGCAGTAGGGACTCTATCTTCTAGCCTCTATAATTCTGGGATTTATTCCATTGAACCTGCTACTTGTTATTCTCGTATCAATACATAAAAATAAGCTATTTGCCCCAGAAGGTGAATAGTTCTAATAACCCAGCACAGATGAAATGCCATGTTATTTGTTCACATGCTCCCAATATGTTTAAGGGGAGGACATGATTGCCCCAATTTTTTTTAAAAAAAGTGTGTGTGAGCACACATGTGCATGCACGCACTTGTGCATGTGCGTGTGTGTGTGTGTGTGTGTGTGTGTTGTGTGTTGATGTGTGTATATTTGGGCACACACTCATGCCATAGAACACAAGGTTGTTGGACAACCTTGGGAGTTGGTCCTCATCTTCCATCTTGTTTGAGGCAGGATCTGTTGTTTGCAGCTGCACAAGCCAGACTTGCTGGCCCATGAGCTGCTGTAGAGTCTCCTGTCTCTACTTCCCATCTCCCCTCAGGGGTGCTATATTACAGACACATGCTATGGTGGGTTATGGAGACCCAAACACAGGCTCTCATGCTCAGCAAGTGCTTCAGAAACTTAGCCATCCCCCCAGCCCATCACTGAATCACACACTTGCAAGTGAAGGAACCCTCTGAGCCAAGGATCCAAGCTCCTACAACTGAGCGTGCAGCCAGCCCCAGCTGTGAACTGCATCTGCAGCTAGGCCATTGTGGACTCATGGCCCTCCCAGAAACACAGTGCCTCGGTTTATCCTGCTTCACCTGTTTATCGAACTCGGGCTTCAGAGCATCTTCCGTGAAGATGTGAAAGCACATCTTCCTGTGGCTGAAAAGCACAGCTGACTTGAGCATGACCAGAGTCTCCTCCAGCCGGTTGCCACAGGCCACCACGGCCAGGTGAATCCAGAGCTCGGGTGGCACAGAGTGCAAACTCCTCACTTCCCCAGGCCTCCTAGAAAGAAGAAAAACAAGCTGAACTTTTTTTTAAAAAAAAAAAGAAAAAAGAAAAAAGAAAAAAAAAGCCCCACTGAATGGTTGGATGGAACATTTCAAAACATGACCAGGCACAATCTGTTATATTTTATAAAGTGATAAGCATTTTGACAATTCTTCCTGCTTGTAGAAAAATACCATTTATTCCCATATTTATCCTGGCCATAATGAGATGAGTCACCGTTTGGATGGCTATAGGTGTCTGGGACATTTTTCTGCCAGCACTCAGCTGTCTAGTGCCTGCTGGCTGCCTACAGGACTGTGTTTGGAAATAGCATTTCCCAACTCCGACAGGTGACTGGGGGCTGTGGGGCTCCCACTTGCACAGGGCCATGGAAATTAGATTCCATGCAACTTGAACAGGAGGAGGGTGGGTTGTGGCTTTCCCATGTGAACCTCGAAACATGATACTCTCATCATCTGGAGGTTTTTAGGTTGCGGTGGAATGCGTGACTGTTGGCTGCAATCACGTGCAATCCCGGGAGGTGAGGGAACGGAACAACCCACATGCCCCCACTCCCATTTTGTCCCAGGGTAGTCTTAAAGAAACAGGTGTCGATCCTAATTGTCTGGCCAAGGACGGGTGAGGTGGTGGATATGAAACTCCTCTTAATCAGATGCAGGCAGGGGGGAGGTGGGCAAACCTTCGAACACGAAGGTATCTAATACTGAATGAACAGCTGGGAGGAGAAGTGGGATCCAAGCATCCAGGATCATCATCCAGCTATTTCCTAGGAATAAAAGATTGGTCCCAGCTAGTGAAATGAAGCCAAAACCTCAAATGCACCACTGAGAAACATTTGCAAGCAGGCTGGAAGACGTTGGGCTGGAAAAGGTGCCTTGAGACAAATGAAAGCAATTTACTCGCACAAAAGATTTGGAGAGCATGGGAACTTGGATGTCAAACGCCACCTTCCTTCCAAAAACCTTCCCGTGTGCTCTGCGGGCTGCCCCCGCTGCTCTGGCGAACTTGTAGGCTTGGTCCAGATTGCTTTTACTAAAAGGGAAGTTGAACTTGTGGGTGGAGCTCTCTGGAACGTGTTCCAGTTTGATTACTTAAGAACACGCTTGGCAGAAGCATGGCCTTGTGGCTCAGATCAGGCTAAATGCAGCCAGTTCTTGGATTTCACTAACTTTGGGTGTGTGTGTGGAGGGGGTCACAGGGAAAGATGGTATCTTTGTAAATTGCTCACTTCTCTTCAGCCTCCTTTTCTCTTCAGATGTGGCCACTGACTTCTCTCCCCTATTACGATGACAGCCCTCTGAGAGGCCTGTCCGTCTCCAGACTTACACCCCAAATTATGTGCTGTCTTTATCGGTGTGTGGGTGGGAAGGTAGGGTTCCAGGATGTCAGACTTGTTATTTTTCTAATTAGAATCATGTTTGGCTTGTTTGGCTCAAGCACAAACTGTCAATTAGGAATCTGTCAAAGTTCATCTCCCAACTGCCACCCATCATCCACCGGGGTGGATGGCCACCCATCAGCACAGTCCTCACACTTCTCGGTCCATTCATGGTTATGATTCAGTTCGAGCAACGTCATTTCTAGGACTCGACACATGCCGATTCATTGAATTCCTTCATCCTATTTTCTCTCCAGAATGTTCTTCTCTTTGGTCTTTACTAACTGCCACCCATTCTTTTATTGACAAGTCTTTATTAAAGACCTATTATGTTCAAAAGAGTATTCTAGAATACAGGTGAGCAAATGGATTCACCTCCTACAGAGGACAAGGGAGGACGAGAAATAACCCTGAGAAAGCCCCTGAGCTTTGTTGGTGTAGTGCTTGCCTGGCAATCACGAGGACCTCAATGTGAACCCCACCTAGAACCTGTTTAAGAAAAGCCAGGCATGATGTCACCCTTTTGTAATCCCAGCACTGGGGAGGCAAAGATGGTCCCTAGAAACTCAACAGTCAGCCAGCCTAGCTCAGTTGTCCAGTTCCAGGTGAACAAGAAACTGACTCAGGAAAAAGAAAAAAGTTGGATGGATTTTATGCAACAACACCCAAGTTTGTCTTCTGGACTACATGTATACATACACATTCCCATACAGAGTTTCCTATGCACACATGTTCCCATGCACACAGGTTCCCATGTACTCAGGTTCCCATACACACACTTTCCCATGAACATATCCTCAGACACGGATGTTCCCATGAACACATGTTCCCATGAACACATGTTTTCATGCACACATGTTCCCATGAACACATGTTCCCATGAACACATTTACGAACAGCTGTGAGAGTGACAGTCCCTACGTGTCTTGCAGAGTCCTGAAGCAGGTGCTGACAGAACACTCACTGCCGACAGGGTGGGATCCCACTAGTGACTGTGCAGTGTGACATCGTACTAGTGAGAACAGGCCTTCCTGACCAGAGATCCATCAGTGGCTTCGGGGAGTGGGTCTAGAGGATCTCTGGAGACTGTGGGAGAGAGAAAGTTAAGTCAGGACGAGCCTGGAAACCAGTTGGGCTCCGCCCCTCAGGACTCATATGCCTGTGGTCTTCCTATTCTTCATGGAGATGTCACGCCTGTTTTCAAACTAATTCCCAATTAGCTAACTTATGTGGACCAGAGGAAAGACGTTCTGAACAACACTAAGATAGTGATTTAAATACGGTTAAGGCACCAGCCAAGAGGCCCATAATGCTCTGGGGCCTCCAAGATGCTCTTGCCCAGATGTTTCTTGCAGTCACAGCCTAGGACCTGAGTTTGAGTCCCTGGAACCACATGGTGCAAGAAGGGAGCCAACTCCTAAACTCCTGGAAACTATTCTCTTATACCCACATATGTGTCATGATACACACACACACACACACACACACGCACACATGCACACACACATACACACACACACATTTGTATGTGCACACGTGTTTTAAAAAATACTGTAAGACCCAATGTGAACAATTGGTTAAAATGTGTGTTACAAGGTCATGGGAAGTGGGGCTGGAATAAAGTGAGCTGGGTAAAGCACCTGCTAGCATGCATCAGACCTTCCATTCCATCCTCAGTACCTGAAACATGAGTGGCTTCCTCACCCCTAAACAGAAGGAATCCACTACGCTCAGCTTCACATGTGGAATTTCTGCATGGGTAGTGAGTATGAACCTCGGTAAGCTGGGCCATACAAATGTAAGTAAGTTAATTAGTTTAGACTAGCTAAGATAACAAAATAAATGAAAAGATAAACTTGACGACCTTCCCCATGGATGGGGAGAGCGAACAGGCAGCTTGGGTACCAAACAGTGGAAATCGACCCAAATTTTAAAGAGACATATGGCAAGTTAGCAGGTATAAAGATGAACATACAACCTGTTCTTCCACATAGACGCCTACTTGAATAACCTGCAGAAACTCATGTGTTTGCATAATCCCATGCAAGGACGTGCAGAACAGATCTGTTTAAAAAATGAACTGATGACCATGAAAAGGACAATCACCAACATTTGTGCCATGGGGGGAGAGCATGGAATATCATACAGCAGTGAAAAAGAATAAACCAGACCTGCACGCTCCAGCATAAGGTCTGAGAGGAAATGAAGTCTGTAAGGATTGCAACAAGATAAGCACATTCAGATTTTTTCTTAAGAAAGAGTGTTGTCATAGCATAATGTCACCGATTTCTGGGACTTTAAATGAATTTTGTAGGTTTAAGCACCAGCCTTGCTGCAATGTTAATACCCAAGAGAATGGCCATTATCACGTGACTGCTGGCCACCATGACTAGTGTGGTTCTGCTTTTTAGTTTGTTTTTGTTTTAAAATGAACCATCTTGCCCTTAAATAAAAGAAAAAAGACTGCTGTATCTTATTAGCAGATGTGTATGGAGTAAAAATAAAGTATACCAACAAGAATGGAACAATCCAGTACAGGATGGTAGTTATTTCTAGAGGCTGATTAAAAGCTGTATTTCTTCCTCTTATAGAAAAGCTCATTTTTACTTATGTGAATGTGAGTGTGTATGAGTGTGTGAGGGTGTGTGTCTGTATTGTGTGAGTCTCTGTGTGTATCTGTATCAGTGTGAGTGTGGCTGCGTACGAGTGTGTGTCTCTATGTGAGTGTGTGTGAGTGCATGTCTGTATGTGTTTGAGTGTATGTGAGTGTGTCTCTGTGTGAGTCTGTATGAGTATGTGTGTGTCTCTGTGTGTATATATGTCTGTGTGTAAGTGCATATGAGTGTGTGTCTGTGTGTGAGTGCATGTCTGTATGTGTGAGTGTGTCTGTGTGTGTCTGTGAGTGCATTTCTGTGTGTGAGTGTGTGTGTGTCTGTGTATGTGAGTGTGTTTCTGTGTGTGTGTGAGAGTGTATGTGTGTGCCTAAGTGTGTCTGTGTGTGTCTGTGAGTGTATTTCTGTGTCTGAGTGTGTGTATGTGAGTGTGTTTCTGTGTGTGTGTGTGAGAGTGTATGTGTGTGCCTGAGTGTGTGTGTGAAAGTGTGTGTGTGCCCCAGTGTGAGTGTGTATCTGTGTGTGTTTCTGTGTGTGTATGAGTGTGTGTGTGAGTGTGTGTGCACGCTTGTGTGTGAATAGATGGCAGCCAAGGCCAGCGGTAGTGTTGATCCTCTGGAACTGGAGTTGCCAGCAGTTGTGGGCCACTTGCTATTGGTGCTGGGACCTGCAATCTGGTCCTCTTCAAAAGCAGAACACATCGACTCTCAAAGGCGGAGCCATCTCTCCAGTTGCACTTCTTAAGCTGAGTGCTGCGCATACAGAAATTCATTTCATTATCTGTATTTTTGTGTCTCCCAAACTGTTGGATAAATACTTTTTCCACTGAAAAAAGTATGGAGACCAGGGATGTACTCGATGCTAGAGCGCCTGCCCAGCAGGCTTCAAGCTCTGGTTCCCACCCCCAACACCAAATCCAAAAGAAGGGAAGCTCCTACTTCCCAAGGCAGAGCAAGCCATCTCTTCCCTTCCCTCCAGGCTCCAGTATTTAGGCCGGCACAGTG